TCACAAACACAAGATCCCAACCTTCTACAGAGGCTGTTCAAGTACGCCATTCATGACGTAAGTCTATCTGAACGTTCATTTTTGTATATTCCATGCCTTCCCAGGTTGGCCCTTGCCACGGTCATTTGTCTCTCTTGAGACAAAAATTGTGCATTTGCCTTATGCAAGGTAGCAGTGTACGTTTCCTTACCTGATGCCTGTTACATGATCAGTACGTCATTGTTTATTCACAATGATCACAATGCCAAAATACCACGTGGAGTAGAATAGGACTCTTAACAAGATCGCACTTACCGCAAACAAAGCTTTGCTCAGCCCACATATGCTCTGGCAGCCTGAAATCGTTAGGAATTGGCTGAAAATTAGCAACTGTTAAAAGTTAAAAATAACGGATAAAGTTAAAAACGTCAATTTGCAGTGAGCGTAGAGTTTTCTAGATGGTAGTATTAACAGAAGTAGATAGCCCGGCTTTGAAAACACCTAGATACCAGGAAAAGGCCGGGATAAGCAGTAGGCCAAAGAACGAGGACATCTTGCAGGGGAGGATCTGGAATCGTTGTAAGCTGAGGGTTTTTTGAATTGGGAAAAACTGGGGCTTACATAAGCTCGTAATTAGACATTAGCGAGACTTGAAATGTGTTGAAAGTATTCGGTGAAATCATTAGTACGAGGACAGCCACTGGATTCCCTTAACTCGTCCAGATTAAGAGAATCCAGTGGCTGTCCTCGTACTAGTGGTTTGGGAAGTGAATGAGTATGAATATCGGCAGTGATTCGAAGAAATTTGATTACAAGAGCAGCAAAAAAGCTAACGTTGTGGGGCTTGCAACCAGTGATGGTGGTCTGTGGTTCTCGCACTTGCATATCGACCCGATCGTCAATAGCGCTTGAAAGGTAGCTGCTGGAATTAATTAAATTGCTGGTTTACCCAGTTTATCTGATTCACGAGTAAATTTGGAAGTTTTGTAGCAATCATTCGTAAATGTCACTTGCATGGATGTAATTTCAGGGAAAAGCTCGCGCACAAGATCACATGCTGTTCTTCTATGGCGCAAGCACTAGTAAGACAGGTCAAGCATTCCTCTGGCAGTATTTCAAGGAGAATATGGCTTACCTTGTTGAGAAGTTCGGTGGAGTAGGATCCGGTCTATTCCAGGTATATTCGGATAATTGTATTGTCACATTCGATTAATATAGTTCTTCGTAAGTGTTTTTGTTGATACCCATGTATGCACTTTTTTCAGAGGTGTTTGAAATTGTCTATTGAGCGGCAATGTACTGAGGAGTTTGCTCAAGAAGTAGAGAAATTCTTCTGCCATAGTCTCTCCCCACAAGACTTGAAGACGTTGGATCGCCCGATAAGACAGGTAATCGTTTGCTACAACACTTTTCAAATCATGTTTCTGTTCAGGAGATGTATCATTTGTTCCATGTTTAAGGCTACGGAGGCTGTTCGTCTTAACCAGAAGTTGTTGAAGTCGAATCTGGAGGATATTCAACAGTTCCTCAGTAAAGAAGGACTATAGTCAAGACTTTCCCTTTTCGCATCATGCTGTACTTTTGTGGTATTATGGGTATTGCATTTCTTCGCTTCTGTCCTAATTCAATAAACTTTTACGAAGTTAAAAAACTCGAAGCAAACCTCTTCGGCCTCTCTCAGACGACCCCCAGCTAATCGTGTCATTGTCAAAAGCTGTGGCAGTTTGCAGACAGTTTTGAAATGGTCTAGTTGTCGACATCCTCTATGCTTTAAGCTACATGGGTATGTTTCACTGGCTTTGTGAGTGTGTAGAGAATATTTTTGTGTAGTTGTAGGTGGATGCGATCGTTGCGTAAAATCGCGCCGGTTTTTACGTTCAGGATCAGTTTTGTTTTGTAGGCTTGAGGCTTACTATGACTTTTGTAAAAATTGATCGGATTGACCTATATAAGCGCCCCACGGCCACTCGTATGGGGCAATAGAAGACTATCAGATCATCATCAATTAGAAATTCTCAGCTCTGTCTCAAAATGCGGCAGAGCCCTGGAAAAAAGGGGTTCTAAGCAGGCGAAATAGATGAATTTTGGTCGACCGATTGAGGCATGAGCTGAAGTGAAGATTCGTTGATATTGAAGATATTTTTGAGAGTTGCACCCCATAAACTCTCAAAAATAGCTGATAGAAATCAGCAAAGAACGGGATTTCAGAAGTCATTTGCAGATGGATGGGAAACAAAGTAGTTAGCGCTCAAAGTTGTTGTTTGCATTTGTTGCCCAAAGCTATAGCCACAGATAAGGTTCTTAGATGATTTGATCGCTGGGAACATGGTCGATAAAATAACGGCTGATACAAGATAGGCAGGGCCCCAATAGAAGTCTTGAGAAATTTGCATTTTTCAAGTGATCAGGGCCGTTTTTATACGGGAATTGGTTATCCAGCCATACTAACCAGTGGTAAGTAGAGTGGTTAAAAATTGTTTAGAATGAACCAAACATTGGCTCAGACTTTACTCGATGTCAACGAAGCCATCAGCTTTTGATGAAGTGAAAATGGCCACGGTCCATATATCATAATTCTCTTGACGAAATGTACTGCTACACAACAGTCTCGAAAAAGATCCTATTTTTTCAGCTGCACCTTGCCAATGGTCTCCATCTGAAGTTGAATGATTTTTTTCAAAGTCAACCTGCATATTCAAAGCGATTTTTCAGGCAAAGTGGCTTTTATCATTCGTTTACTGGCTGCTAAGGGGGTAAAAAGTTGATTCATGATCAAACGATGGCCAAGTTGCGCTTTATCACAGTTGCCGACACCTGATAAGCCTGCTCTGGCTACTGCTTTTTCTATTCCTTTTTTCATTGACTTATGTTCGTTCGGAAAAATATCCGCTGTGTTGACCTATAGTGTACCAAATTTATGGACAATAATGTTTGATTACTTCCGGAAGGTTTCCCCGACTTTCCTACTCCATTAAGAATTAACGATGTGTAATAAAGTCTTTGGCATTGATTAATCCCATCTTTTGGGATACGCTCCGCACTCAACTCCCATTCACAATTGCAATGGCAGTTTTGAATGCGTATGTGGCCTATACAATAACTTGTGGTGGCCACCCGATGCGCAAGTCAATGCTTTAATTCCAACAAATGATCTGGTACCGTCTAACCGGAAGACCATCTCCTATAATAGCACACTTACATCATTATCTTAGCTGCTATTTTTAATTAGGTTATGAGACTGAGCGAATCGATCCGGGATTCTAAGCACTGATCAAACACGTGTGTAAGTGCGCCACTTGCCGAGAGGACCCCTTCATCTTTCAGATGACTCCCTGAAAACAGTCGCTCTTCTCAAGCTGGGTTCTGGATGTGCTTATGTTGACATTCCGTGACGTTCATTTTGAGTGAAACGACATGTATCAATCGTTCTGACTTTCTGTGGCTTTCTGGGGATACAGAGCGGTAGGAAAATTTCAGAACTTTTACCGCCTACCGTAAAACCACAACTGCGAATGCCATCAAGCCTGTGAGTGGCTTCCCTTAGCACAGCTATTATTAGGTATGTATTATTAGGTATTAAGGTGTCCGAAGAGTTTTGAGAAAATCCAGTCTGTTTTTCAACACAAAATAACTACAACAATGAAGTTCGGGTGTTGTGCAGTAGGAAAGAAATTGCCGCGTCGCGGCGAGAGAAACGCCGCGCGCGAAGGAATGTAGCAGAGTGCAGCATCAAGTAAGAAATTCAGGAACAAATCAATTGACAGCAGAATCACGCCAGAAGTATTAATTGCATAGCGATTGAGCTGTATGAAGAACGCTTGAACTGTTATAACGCGATAAATGGCCCGCGCCGCGTGCGGCGGATCGATTACATGAAACCGTTTCTACTGCCCGTCTCCCATAAAGTTCGATCAGTGGTCAAGATCTTGTCCCTTCATAGCCACAAGATCTCTCCAACGACCGGACATGGCGCTGATGCTATTCCTCCAAAATGAAGGGAGGCGCGACGCAATTTATTCATCTACCGTCTACTTGACTTCTTGACAGTTGGTTAATTTTTTCCCTTTAGAGTAAGCCCATGAGCTTCTAAAGTATGGCAGTCATAAGATGAATATGGGAAAACGGGATAGGCAGTTTACACCAAGTCTTTCCAGCTTATCCATCGACGTCCTCGTGTGAGGTGGCCGATCATTATACATGTCAATGAAAAATTTCCTTGTAATCGATGTGAAATGGGGGTCCGAAACACCAACTCTCTCAGTCGGTAACAGAATACTCTTGCGTTAACGCAGTACACTCTG